ATATAAACTGGCCATCAACAAGTTTAGTCTTGAAATCAGATGAAGGTTTCTAACTATCAGAGGAGTGCAGTTCTGGAACAGCCTTTCAAGAGGAACAGTGGGGGGAAAAATAGTTCATGGAGATAGGTCCATCGATGGCTATTAGCCAGGGTGGACAGGTATGGTGTCCCTAGCTTCTGTTTGCCAGAAGCTGGGAATGGGCGACAGGGGATGGATCACTTGGTGATTACCTGTTCTGTTCATTCCCTCTGGGGCACCTGGCATTGGCCACTGTAGGAAGACAAGATACTGGGCTAGATGGATCTTCGGTCTGACCCAGTATGGCTGTTCTTATGTAAAAACCTAACTGGCTTCAAGGCTGAGCTTGGTAAGTTTTTGGAAGGGATAGTATGATGAGACTGCCTACAATGGTAGATCGCCGTTGTGAGACTGCAAGTAGCAAATATGCCCTGTGATAGGACATTAGATGGGGAGGGCTCTGAATTACTACAGAGAATTCTTTTCTGGTTTCTGGCTGTTGGGTCTTGCCCAAATGCTCAGGGTCTAACTAATTGCCATTCCCCCCTGGTCAGATTGGCAGAGACCCTGAGTTGGTTAGGTTTTTTGCCTTGCTCCCCAGCATGGGTCATTTGTAGGTTTAAATTAGTGTAAATGGTGGATTCTCTGTAACTTGAAGTCTTTAAATCATGATTTGAGGATTTCAGTAACTCAGTCAGAGGTTATGGGTCTATTACAGAAGTGGGTGGGAGAGGTTCTGTGGCCTGCAATGTGCAGGTGGTCAGACAGGATGATCATAATGGTCCCTTCTGGTCTTAAAGTCTATTGGGGATTTGGAGGGTGGATCATTGTGAACCTCTGCTCCTTCCTTGCACAAAGTCTGAGTAAATGGGTTTTGTGTATGAGGGTCTCTGCTGAGGTACCAGGGCTGAAATGGAATCTTCCTAGCAGTAGGTGACACACTCTGGCTGCAGTAGCCTCTGAAGGTTTGTCTAGTTTAGAAAAAGAAATTGAGATTAAGTGGCGTTTAGCAAACATGTGTTCACTAACCCAGACCTTTTCCCTAATGAAGACATAGGTTAGCACATTTTACCCTGAATTAGCTGTTCACCAGCTAAACCAACATAAAAGATGTTAACCTGCATCTAACACAAGTGCAATGATCACAGTACCAATAGGGTTAGCTAATCCCAACCTACATTTGACCTCTGTTCCTAATCTACACAACCCCCCCAAGTTCACTGAACCAGCCCTCTGTGTAGCACTGAGCACACTCACTAAATAAAGTCATGCCCAGAAAATAAAATTAAAATCCCTGCATTAATAAATCTGAAATGTTCAGTGGTTTGCTTCCCTCCATGTTACAGAGGCATCCTCAGGTAGAAGTGGGAGGAGAGAATTCATAGAAATGACTGTATTAGCATGTCACTAGGTTCTGCATTCAGAACAATGTCTTGTGCAATATGCAATTTCCACCCAAATCAGCACGATAGGGCAGAGTTTGTTAGGAGGCCAGAGCAGAAAAAGGAACTAATGGGAACAGCAAACATTTCAATTAACGGGCTGAGTTGGTTAGAAAGTGAAAGGCATGGAAACAATTGCGATTCCATCCAGTTGGATAGATTCAGGGTGTCTTTTCCAGATTTTGCATCATTTCTTCCTTCTATCATTTCAATATATTTCCTATGCAGTCTCACACTAGCTGGAAATATGACCGGCTAGGATAATCTTGGATAATGATGTTAACAGTCATGCTAAAAAAGCTCAGTAGCAGAACTGCAAGTCAGGAAGGAAAAATATCTGAGCAACAGGGTGGCTGTTTGTGAAAGTTCCTTCTTATTACCGTGCGAATGAGGAACCAAGTTGGAGAGCTTATTCCTCATCCCTGTGCCCAACACCAGGCCTGTACCCTACTTGTGCTGGGGGCTTGAGCAGTCCATAGGCCTTGACCTGCCTCTGAATGGGAGCAAGTTTCACACACAGACTGTAGATCACTACAGTTGTAGGGACAGTCAGACTTCCAGGTATCTCCTGGCTCTGGCACAGTCTAGTCTGTTTTATATAGGTTCTTATGTCATGCTCATCACTATAATATCGGAACACCTTCCAGAAGTGCAGTAAGCAATGTGACTAATATCAGTTGCAGTCTGCTATTTATGAACTCTCCAATTTGACCCTTAAGGGGCAAATCCTCATTTCAGGGTGAAATTCACTCTTGTGCAGAAGGCCATCAGAGGCCTATGCACCACTTAAGTACTATGTAAGCTCTCAGAATTGGATTTAAGTGGGACTTAAGTACTTGGGGCCCTCCATGGAGAGAGAGTGGTGGGGAAGAACCCCTTCTTCCCAGACAATGAGCAGTGGAGCTGTTCTGTGGCTGCTACTCTAGCCTTCAAGCTTCCCCCACTCCATGGGGTGTGTGTTTCCCACACCACACTCAGACAAAGAAACTTCAGACCAGGAGGCCAGACTTGTCTGCAGTTGCTCTTTAGTTTGGTGCTTCAAATGTTGGCCAAGAAGCTGAGTGTGGATCTTCGATTTCAAAGAGATAGGGAGGTGTTCAGATCCCAATCCTCACTAAAATTAGACTGGGGTTAGAATCATTAGAAGGGACTACACGGGTCATCTAGTCTAACCCCCTGCCAAGATGCAGGATTTGTTGTGTCTAAACCATCCAAGACAGATGGTTATCCAGTCTCCTTTTGAAAACCTTCAGTGAAGAAGCTTCCACAACCTCCCAAGGCAGTCTGTTCCATTGTACTGCTCTTACAGATAGGAAGTTTTTCCTGAGATTTAATCTAAATCTGCTATGCTATAGTTTGAACCCATTGCCTCTTGTCCTGCCCTCTGTGGCAAAAGAGAACAGCTTTCCTCCATCTTTTTGTGGCAACCTTTCAAGTATCTGAATACCACTAATATATCCCCCCTTAATCTCCTCTTTTCCAACCTAAACATACACAGTTCCTTCAGCCTTTGCTTGTATGGCTTGCATTCTATTCCTTTGATCATCTTTGTCACTTGATTCTGGATCCTTTTGAGTTTCTCTACATACTTTCTATACATTGGTGACCAAAATTGGATACAGTACTCCAGCTGAGGCCTAACCAGCACTGAGTAGAGTGGAACTATCACTTCGCATGACTTACATGCTCTGCCTCTGTTGATGCAACCTAAAATTGCATTTGTTTTTTTTGTAACAGCATGGCACTGCTGACTTACGTTGAGGCTGTGCTACACCACAACTCCCAGATCATTCTCAGCAGTGCTGCTGCCAAGCCAGTTTTCCCCCATTCTGTATTTGTGCATTTGTTTTTTCTTCCCTAAGTGTAGCACGTTATATTTGTCTTTCTTGAATTTCATTTTATTGTCTATAGCCTCGTTCTTCAATTTATCAAGATCCCTCTGAATTTCAGCTCTATCCTCCATAGTACTGGCAACACCCCCAGCTTTGTGTCATCTGCAAACTTCATCAGTATGCTCTCTATTCCTACATCCAGGTCACTAATAAAGATGTTAAACAACACTGGAGCCAGAACATATCCCTGTGGAATTCCACTTGATAAGTCTCTCCAATCTGACATCATTCCATTAATAGTTACTCTTTGTTTGCGGTCATTTAACCAATTATATATCCACTTAATGGTACTTCTGTCAAGCCTGCATTTCTCCAGCTTACTTATCAGAATGTCATGTGTCGAAGAACAGGTATATTATGTCCACCGCATTCCCCCTACCCACCAAATCAGTTACCCTGTCAAAGGTTTGGGTCCAAAGAGGGCTCATGTTTGGATTTGGTCTTCTCATCAGATTTCAGGCCTACAAAATGGTAGAAATCGCTCAAGATCAGCTGTTCTCACGAGATTTCAGATCCATCCAAATAAAAAAAATTGACGGCTTTGTGGTTTTTGATCCAATCCAGAACAAAAAACCACAAGGGTAGGTATGGGACTATGGAGTCAAATCCACCCCTCACTAGAAAATTTGGAAGGGGTTCAGATTAGAGATTCCAGGTTTACCCTATCTGTGGGTCTGAAGTGACAGGTATTGGACTTTTTTGATTTAACAGCTATTTAGAAGTAGAAATCTTAAACCTATGGCCTCAATTCAGGAAAGGACTTAAGTATGTGCTTATATGTGTTCTGAACTAAGGAGGCATTTTTGAGTCTCTATGCCCAAACCCTACAATTAGCTATACAACGGACTGATTGATTTTTACTTATTTGCAGGCCTTGCTACAGAGCCCATCACCATAATATCTTGATTTTTCCATTGTCTTCATTATAATAATACCTACCTGTTATACAGCAATTTTCATCTGTAGATCTCAAAGCACTTTACAATGATGTAAGCATCATTACCCCCAGTTTACCAATGGGGAAACTGAGGCTTGACGAGGGGAAGTGACTTGCTCAAGATCACACAGCAATCCAGTGGCAGAGTTCGGAATAGAATCCGGGTCTCGAGTCCCACCCCAGTGCTCTCTCCCCTAGGCAACACTCCCTACAGCTAAACATTGACTTGCTAATTGAATAGTATAACATGCAGTGCTGTCACAAAGAAACCACACAGTGCTGTGCTGGGTTGTATTGCTAGGGGTATCACATACAGGGCCCAACATTCAGTTACAAAATGTGCCTGTTCCTTCCAGGAAGATTTTTTAGAAGCACAGTAGATCTCTCATTTCAGGTGACCTCTTTCATATCTAGAAAATGTCAAGATAGCTCAGCAATAAGTTTGCCTGCCTATTTCTGAAACATGTGTCCAACATCTCCATTCATTAGATAACACTTCACACTAGGTTTTGCTCACATTACGCTGCTCTGCATCACACACACTGAAAAGTGTAGCCTCGTGCCCCATCAGGTTGATTTTCTATTCACAGGCCACGTGGCTCAGAAGGATTTAAAAACAGAACAAAACAGGAGAGAGCTAGTTCTCTGGGATGTGAAAAAAGAATCAGAAATATCAACACCAGCCAGTAATACGGGGAAAGAGGCACTTACGTAATACTTGTCGTCACTCTCATTGTAGGCCAGTTTCACAACACCATAGGAGCCCTATAAATAAACACAAATTACACAGTCAGTTCGGCTGCCTTGCTTTGTTTGCCTGCTGCTCAAGGCTTATCATGTTTGGCCTTGCAGTGAAAAATAAGAAGTACATTCAACAGCCTCGAGCAAAAGCTCCACGTGATGTCAGATTGTGTTATACAGTACAGCTCCCTTCCCCCTATGAAATGCAACTCAGATGGACCAAGACACATATAGGGGCAAAGGGAGTTTCTCTTCTCTTCATTGTTATGTTCGATGCCAGGGATAATGTCCTTCCTCTCCTGGCAGCTATTTCATGTGGGCAATGGCGCACAGAGCATTTCCTGAGGATTAATGACTGTCCGGAAGGAACTGCCTCAGGCCATTAACTCCAACCAGTTATTAATCCTCAGCAAATGCCCTGAGCCAAGGTTATATTTTTATTACAAGTTGAACATTGGGGAAAATTTTCTTTTTAAAGTCTTTTTGTTTCTGTGTTAGTTTTTTATATTCCCTTCATACACCCCCTCACAACTGGAGGCCCCCACCATTTTCATAGAGGACTTTCCATGCGCTGGGAGTTTATAGGAAATTAACACTTTGTAGATCATATCTTCAGCTGATGTTAATTGGCCCAGTTCTAATGAGTGTGTGTTGCCTGGTCAGTTGCAGTTTATGGAAAGGTCCGTACTAGAGCATGTGGAACATGACAGCTCCAGTAGGAGCTCAAAGTAAAACCACTGAAATTTCGTCTAGTTTTCTGTCAACTCTATACATTTTACAAGGCCAAGATATTAAACTATAACTAGATTCCTCCTCCAATAGTTGCCCATTAAATACATGTATAAGAACTACACTAAGGGTGTGATCCAACTCCCACTGAAATCAGTAGGAGCATTTCCATTGACTTAACAGTTGGAATGAGACCCTAAATCTCATGAAGAGCTGGTGAGCAAAGCTTTGGGCCTGACCCAAAACCCACTGGAGTCAATGGAAGTCTTTCCATTGACTTTACTGGGCTATGGATCAGGCCCATTGTAAATTATTTAATGTGGCAGATTAGAAAGTAAAGGTGAAATTCACTCCTCTGCAGAAGGCCTGCACAAGCTCTGTCTACCACTTAAGTCCCACTAAAGCCACCAAAATAAGGTTTAAATGAGTTTTAAGGAGAGCATAGGGCTTGGTGGGCCCTCTGCACAAGAGTGAGGGCTTGGACTGTGATACATTTACTCACCTTGAATAGTAATATACTCTTCATTGACCGCCATGGATCTAACGGAAGAGTAAAGTACTACACGAGGGGAGTAAGCGTATTGCAATGTGGCCCTAATTAAAGAAATACAATTTTTAAAAAAATCAAGGAAAGGGCTTTGCTCATTCATTCTGATAGATGTAATTTAGCTTTAAATGGAGGTGAGGCCCAAACAGAATTCCCAGATCCAAACACCCTGGAACCATGGAAAAGTCTGGAGACAGATCTGAATTTGTAGCTGGTTCCTACCTCTATCATGTGCAAAGCCAAAGACTCAGGTCCAAACACCTTCAGAATTGCATCTCTCTGAACTTCCTGACCTGGACCAATCTCTATTTTAATTTTTTAGGGTAAACTTCCACTAATGAATGTGATGTGGTAAACTGCATATGTGTCATAAAGTCTTGGTGATATGAGAACTGCCTAGAGCGCTCTCTCAGATAAGAAGACAGGAGACCCCTTGGAGAATATCTGTGAATGAGAATTGTCAAGTCTGGAGATGAGCATAATTGAGAATTAGCAAGAGTCTCCAATATTCTCTCCCTGATTCTGCTCTCTCCAGGTACTGTACCCGTACACAATTAATCTAGACAGGTACATTCAAAGCCTCACAACAGAAATCACCCACTGCCCTTTCCCCCATTCCTGCATGCATATGAAGGACAAAAAGAAGGCAGCAACTGTGGCTTCTTGTCACAGAAAACAGGTGCTAAAACTTGGAAATGAGCCACACATATGTTTTGATATACACAGTAATTACTACCACCCCAGGGACTGGCTGCAATGCAGAATCACAGCATGCTTATGAAACACCTACTCTACTACAACCTGGCGCTTGCTAATCTGGACGCTTTAACTGATCCACACAGTCAGTTTGTAAGTAAGAAGACACCTCTCTGAGGTGGTCAGAGTCTGTGAGCCCTAGAGAAGTTTGAGCTAATAACCTTTTTGGTGAAACGACCTGTGGAAGCAGGTGTAGTCACTTCAAAATGGAATACATAGATAGAAATAGCAAGTACAGCCTTTAGGGAACGATCATTTACTGATCCATCTGCAGACACATGGCATGAGTCCAAATGTGCAGGTGTCTGAACTGTTCACCAATTCAGACCTTTAAATAACTTTCAGTGAATCTCTTCTGGAATCATTCTGAGACTTTTAAATACAGAATAGAATTAAATCAGCAATTTCTACATGGAAATAAGATTTAACCAGTCCTGACGGAGAACAAGTGCCTGCCTTTATCTTTCTTTTCTCATTGGTTGGATTAATTCATTAAAGGACCTTGGTGTTACATTTGGCAAGAAACACCCTGGAAGAGAGCCAGCTCAATACCTTCAGTTGGAAGGAAAATAAATGTAGATTTCAGAGAAAGTAGTTCAACACTGATCTTGAGCAAAACTTGATAAGACAAATAAGAGGGAAGAAAAGAAAGGCTGAATATAGTCTTGGACTATATCGGTCTTCAGGGCAGGGATCGTGTCTTCACGTGGGTGTGCATGTAGCATAATGGGGCTGCTGGGTGCTACTGTAATAGAAACCTTAATTACACTAACATACCTTGCCAATTTCACTTTGCAGCTTGTATTGGTTTAATTGCACACAGTCCTGCAGATCAAAAAGAGAAAAAAATAGGGTATTAGTAAAAGGGAATTACTGTGAGCTTGAATCAGTACCAAGAGAAGAAAAAGTCCCGAAGACAGAAGCATTAAGGCTTATTTAAGCCATTATATGTTAAGTTATAGTTACCGCATTTTTATGACAATAGAACAAATTATGGGCCAGATTCTGAGCTCAGTTACACTGGCGTAAATCTGGAGTAACTCCACTCACTTCAATAATGTTATTGGTATAAATCAGAGCAGAATCTGGCCCTTTTATGTTTAAAATGTGGGAGGTTGTATCTAACCACTGCAGTTAACAAGGAATAGAATTCAAACATCCAGAATACACATTTTAAAAGAAACAAGCATTCAGGCAAGCTCATTTAAAAGACTACCAAAAAGAATAACGAACTCTCAAATTGATCTGATATTTATTAGAATCAATTATCTGTAAACTGCATTAACCTCTATTTGTGAGTTATCAAGGAATGAAATTCCAGTAAGTTCAGATCATTGTAATTGTAATTAGGGTGGAAAAAAAAAGCCAGATATGACAGAAGCCCACCCAACTGAGTTCATTACAACTGTCAAGGCAGGAGTACAACATGCTGCCTTTGTGGGACCTTCAATTCCTCCTACAGATCTGCGTGCCCTGGGGAGCTCCATGGGGATCTGCACCATTTTACGAGTCACGTGCTCTATCTAGGAAGCTAAAGGTGTTCTTTTAATGCTACATTAAGGATAGGATGCAATTCACTGCAAACTTAAAACTGCTACTCTGAAAAGTAACTACGGGATATAACTATGGAACCTGCTTATCCATCAGATCTGCTCCTGGTTTGCCTCACAGTCAGAGCTGTGATTTAAGTGACTACAATACGTTTGTGTCAGAGTGGTCTGAAAAATTAAAAATTAAATTTCACAAACAAAACAAATAAAAAATTCAAAGTGGTTTTCACTTTGCAGTTCAAATCAGACCCTATTTTTTGTTTTTTTTTCAAATGTTTGTTTTCTTCTTCTGTTTTCATAATATTTGTTTTCATTTTTGTGTTTTTCTTCTTTTTTTCTCTCCCTCCTCCCTCCCATGCCCCAACCCCAAAGTTTGGGGAAAAAATGTGTTTGAAAAATTTCAGCCAGCTGTAATTTATTTTCCATGCCTATTAACCCTTACTAATAAGGCAAAGAGGCACTGAGCAGGATTCTATTCCATTTTGTACAGCAACAGATTTGTTGATCACATTCCAATTATTTATAAAGGCACTTGATTATATAATAAGATTATATCAGAGCTCATAAAAGTAGCTAGCTCTGTTGCAAAGAAGCACACTAGCTATCTGTCTTTCTTTTATTGATGAATGTCAACTATATTCTTGTGTCCTGAAACACTACAAAAAAGACATGGGGCTGGATTCTGATATCTGTTACATCAGTGTAAATCCGAAGTAACTCCACATTTACACATCCAAGATTTTCTAATACCACTCCTCAACGTGGAATCTGAGCACCGTGCAAAACAGTACACTAGATGAGACATGCCTGGTAGTGGGTCTCTCTTGATCCCTCTGAAAGAGCAGGGTTATTTTTATCTGTTGTTGTGTGGGAAAGCTAAGTGGATGAAGTGAGCTTTACATTTTGCCCTGAAGGTGGTATGGTTCATGGCTGTTCTATGATCCTGTGGCAGTGAGTTCCACAGTCATGGATCAGCCTCTGTGAAAGCTCTATCACCTGCACATGAGTTTTACTCTTGAAGTGGACTGTGAACAGAGCTTTTGTGGGAGGTTGTGGTCCTGAATTATGATGCAGTCCTTTAGGTATTCTGGACCCATCCCACCGAGGGCTCTGAATGTAAGTGAAATCAGAATCTGGCCCTTTGTTCCTAAATGACAATACTTTAATTGAGGCTCTTCTAGGAGTAGCTTGGTGTACCACATGGGCAACTAAGGAGGACACAGTCAGGATCAGCTCAGTCATTTGGGGTAATGGCAGAGCCAAATAACTAGGTGAAGCAGCAAGATAGAACAAGGAGGGCATCCAACATACTGCCAACAATTATAACTTTTACATATGGGATATAAATGTATAAAAACCATTGAAATTAATAGAAAGACTCCATTTGGATCAGACTCTTTGAGAGTCAAGGGCCAATTTTTTCAAGGGTCTCTGGACTGTACTATCTTCAGGGCCCTAAGTACACATGGATCAGAGGCCTTTTGAAAACTCCAGCATCAAAGGTTCAGTTCTCTGGGGTGAAATTTTACCTAGGTAATTCTGCAAGCTAAGAAAAGAGCCAGACACGCTTCTGGCTCTAAACAAAGATATCATCACCAGACTATAAAGGCCCACATGAGCTATATGGGCCAGATTTTTAAAGGTATTTAGGCACCTAAAGATGAAAACAGTCACCACTGCTATTTTCAAATGCACCATTTAAATCAAGTGCCTAAATACCTTTCAAAATTTGGCCCAATATCTCCATATTAGCAGGCCACTGACGAGTATTCAAGTTTTGGGCATTAGATACAATGCAATGAGTTAAAACCTTCCACAGGGTGCATCAGGTGCAGAAGACATGTAGCAGTATGTGCATGCATATCATGAACTCTAGGAATATCTTCCACATTAAACACATGCTGGATACATAGCAACCATGGGAGAATTTTCAATGTGTGCAGCCCCACTAAATATTGACACAGATCCACCCCTGAGCATAGCACATCCTGTGGTGGACTTTCATTTCGGAACTATGCTAAACAAAGGAGGCTACGTGTGTATGGGGTCAGTCCAACTCCTAGTGAAGTCAACAGCAAGATTTACATTGGGACAGATTTACAAAGGCACTTGGGCACATAACGATGCAGATAGGTGTCTAGTGGGATTTACAAAAGTGCCTAAATGAGGTAGGTGCCTAATTCCCATTGAAATTCAAAGTTAGACAATTTGTCCCAGAATGATTAGGTACTGAGGGCCTGATTTTCAGAGACCGTGAGCTTCTTCTGACTTCACTGGGAATTGCAATTTCTCAGCACTTCTGAAAATGAGATCCTGTATCATCAACAGCTTCTACCAAAAAGAAAATAAAAAGATGAGAGGAAGGATAAATTACCAAGTTCAAATATGTTCTTTTAGGTCTAAGAAGTCCTTTTGAAATAAGAAAACAAACCTTGCAGTGTGTTTATTATCCTGACAGCATTCCACAAAAATGAAAGTGAAATTTATTCTGCTGGAGCCAAAATGTCTGTGTTTTAATGAAACCACATCATGTGACTTCCATTATGATCTACAGCAAGAAGAGTATACTGTCAGAGCATTCACTGATGAGCCTCCACTGGACTGCTGCTAAATGCACAATAGGCAGCCCATGGTATAACATCATAGTTCACCAGCACAGCACAGGCCATCTGAACAGACAGTTGTGGTTAATGGTACAGACGGTAGCTGTTGCAGAGTATTTGTGAGCATATAAGCAAAGCAACTCTGTATCCTGTGCACTTTACTGAAGGTACGTGAGGTTGAAGAAATGCAATGGAACTTTTTTCCTTCCCGTTAAATTTTGCTAGGGTTTGGAGGATTCCTCTGGGGCACAGGATTCAGATTTCAGGATATCGGTACAAGATCCAAAATGCTGCTTGTTGTGTAGCAGCACACGTGTCACTGAAAATAACTGCTACACGACATGAGACCCTTATGGGCCTGACCACCAGGGATCCTAATTTTTCATGAAAAAAATCAAAATTCTCCAATAAAAAAATCCATAAAAATCCATGTTTTTCTGTGATTAAAATGTAACACTGCATTTTAATTTCCCTAGCCACCCTATATATAGGTAGCAGTCTAACACAATATTTTATTGATATATTTACAATTTTTAAACAAATTGGAAGTCTACCAGTGACATCAATCATTATAATCAAATAAAATTAATAGAATTGCAATTTGTATTTCTTACATGTACCAAATACTTCTATGTCTGTCAGCCCCGGGTGGTGGGACTTGGGCTGACAGTGGGAACCCCGCTGCTCGGCACTGACAGTGGGAGCCCGGGGCTGTCAGCCCGAGCCCCACCGGTCCAGTTTGGTTAATACAGAGAGCCGGATAAGGAAGTCATGGATAAAGAGGGTTCTACTGTATATGTTTTTATTTTTTCACCAAATGCAAAAACTTAAGATTCTTTGTAAAAACACAAATTCTGCATTTTCCCATGGCAAATGGATTTCCAGGATCCCGGCTGATCACTAATGTGAATAGAGCAGACTGGCAGTGGATATAGTGAGGAGGGGAAAGAAGGGAGGACAGGTTCCATAATTTACTCCCTCCTCCCCCAAATCCTGCAGAGGCCCCACAGCAAGTGGGAAAGGGGTCCATTGGAGCAGGGCTGTAAATGCCAATTTCTGGGGCACTGTCCCCTGTGAACATTCCTGGAGTCAGTTAACACTGACCCTATCAGAAATAACATACATCGCCATCCCACCTCACAACACAACCACAGCCAAGGTGGCTTTGTGGGGTGGTATTCAGCAAGGCGCCAATGGCAACAGCAGTACTGAGGCACAGGGGCTCCTCATGAATGGCTTTGGTGGATCCTAGGAGAGGCACGACGATGTTGAAAGCCAAATCCCTGGCATCGCTGTGGGAGGAAAGAATCAATGGCAGTACCGTGCCTACAAGGCATAGGGAGCAGAGGTGCTATGCAGAAGGATAGCCCATCTGCAGGACTGGCATATTCCTGAACTCTGCAGGGTTGGGAGGCCACATGCCTGACTGTTTGTGCAGCTTGCCCAAGCATAGGGGAGAACTGCAGCCAGATGTTAGGAGGTTGTAGGGCCTCTCCTGTGGGTATTTTCATAGGAAGGGTCAAAGAGGTACAAACAAGGGCAACTTATATCTCCTAAGCCCCCAGTCCTGGCTTCTACTCTGCAAATCCTTTCCAATCCCAGAGCCATGACAGGACTCCAGGCCCTGTGTCTAACCAGGCTTAGGGTATGTCTTCACTACCCGCCGATCCGG